CCAGCTCCATCTCTTGGCGTCTCCCCCTACCCACCTCCGTGCACCATCCCTTGGTGTCTCCCCCTACCCACCTTCCAGCTCCATCCCTTGGTGTCTCCCCCCACCCACCTTCCAGCTCCATCCCTTGGTGTCTCCCCATACCCACCTGCCAGCACCATCCCTTGGTGTCTCCTCCTACCCACCTTCCAGCTCAATCCCTTGATGTCTCCCCCTACCCACCTCCGAGCACCATCCCTTGGTGTCTCCCCTACCCACCTCCGAGCACCATCTTTTGGTGTTTTCCCCTACCCACCTCCCAGATCAATACCTTGGTGTCTCCCACTACCCACCTCCGAGCACCATCCCTTTCTGTCTGCCCCTACCCACCTCCCAGCACCATCCCTTAGTGTCTCCCCCTACCCACCTCCGAGCACCGTCCCTTGGTGTCTCCCCCTACCCACCTCCAGCACCATCCCTTGGTGTCTCCCCCCCTACCCACCTCCCAGATCAATCCATTGGTGTCTCCCCCTAACCACCCCCCAGCTCCATTCCTTGATGTCTCCCCCTACTCGCTTCTGAGCACCATTCCTTGGTGTCTCTCCCTACCCACCTCCGAGCACCATCTTTTGGTGTTGTCCCCTACCCAGCTCCATCTCTTCCTGTCTCCCCCTACTCACCTCCGAACACCACCCCCCTTTGTGTCTCCCCCTACCCACCTCCCAGCACCACTCCTTGGTGTTTCCCCCTACCCACCTCCCAGCTCAATCCCTTGATGTCTTCCCCTACCCACCTCCGAGCACCATCCCTTGGTGTCTCCCCCTACCCACCTCTGAGCACCATATTTTGGTGTTTTCCCCTACCCACCTCCCATATTAATCCCTTGGTGTCTCCCACTACCCACCTCCGAGCACCATCCCTTAGTGTCTCCCCCTACCCACCTCCCAGCACCATCCTTTAGTGTCTCCCCCTACCCACCTCCAAGCACCATCCCTTAGTGTCTCCCCCTACCCACCTCCGAGCACCATCCCTTTGTGTCTCCCCCTACCCACCTCCCAGCACCATCCCTTGGTGTATCCCCCTACCTACCTGCCAGCACCATCACTTGGTGTCTCCAACTACCCACCTCCGAGCACCATCCCTTGGTGTCTCCCCCTACCCAACTCTGAGCACCATCTTTTGGTGTTTTCCCCTACCCACCTCCCATATTAATCCCTTGTTGTCTCCCACTACCCACCTCCGAGCACCATCCCTTTGTGTCTCCCCCTACCCACCTCCCAGCACCATCCCTTTGTGTCTCCCCCTACCCACCTCCCAGCACCATCCCTTAGTGTCTCCCCCTACCCACCTTCGAGCACCATCCCTTTGTGTCTCCCCTACCCACCTCCCAGCACCATCCCTTGGTGTCTCCCCCTACCCACCTCCGAGCACCATCCCTTGGTGTCCTCCCTACCCACCTTCCAGCTCCATCCCTTGGTGTCTCCCCCTACCCACCTCCCAGCTCCATCCCTTGGTGTCTCCCCCTACCCAGCTCCATCCCTTGGTGCCTCCCCCTACCCATCTACGAGCACCATCCCTTGGTGCCTCCCCCTACCCATCTACGAGCACCATCCCTTGGTGCCTCCCCCTACTCACCTCCCAGCTCCATCCCTTGGTGTCTCCCCATACCCACCTCCGAGCACCATCCCTTGGTGTCTCCTCCTACCCACCTCTGAGCACCATCTCTTGGTGTCTCCCCCTACTCACCCCCAGTACCACCCCCCTTTTAGAGAATGTATTATTTTGTGGTGATAAGTAAAATTTATGAAATTTGTTAATGGTAACAAGAAAAGCAAAAAAGTGAAATAAATCCTCTTCAGCTCACAACAATAAACTCCCCAGATCCACCACCTGCAGTAATAGAACCTCCTAAAACAAATTACCCCTCAAGCAACAATTGATCTACCTGCAGCAATAATAGACCCTCCTACAACAAATTGGAACTCGAGCAACAATAGATCTCCCCTCCAGAAATAGTAGACCTTTCTGCCAAAAATTCCCCTTGAGCAAAAATGATCTCCACTCCAGAAATAATAGACCCTCCTACAACAAATTACCCCTCGAGCAACAATAGATCTCCCTCCAGAAATAATAGACCCTCCTGCAACAAATTACTCTTCAAGCAACAATAGATCCCCCCTCCAGCAATAATCGACCCTCCTATAACACATTACCCCTCACTCAACAATGGATCCCCCCTCCAGCAATAATAGACCCTGCTACAAAAAATTACCCCTCGAGCAACAATAGATCTCTCCTCCAGCAAAAACAGCTCCAGGAAGCCATGTTGAGGAGAACGGCACCTCTCAATGGATGCTGAAATTCTACAAGATTTGGGCTTTCAGCTTGACACAGATATGCTTAAAAGGCAGATTCTGTGCTTTTCAGTATGCCCACAGTGTGGGATTAGAACAATGATAGAGTCCTGTTGGTTAGGGAAAGAGTAGGAGCAGTGTTAGGAAGAAGTACCTGACAAGGCTAAAGCCAGGCCTGATCGCCGCCATTACTAGTAAAAATAAAAAAATACCAGTATCTATACCGCCATTTGTAAATGCTAAAACTTTCACATAAACCAATTAATTTACACATATTAGGATTTTTTTTTTAGCAAAGACATGTAGCAGAATACATTTTGGCCTAAATGTGTGATGAAATTAGATTTTTTTTGGACGTATTTAATAGCAAAAAGTAAAAAATATACAGGTTTTTTTTTCTCAAAATTGACGGTCTTTTTTTTTTATAGCGCAAAAAATAAAAACTGCACAGGCGATCAAATACCACCAAAAGAAAGCTCAATTTGTGGAAAAAAGGTCGTAAATTTCATTTGGGTGCAGTGTTGCATGAACGCACAATTGTCAGTTAAAGTAATGCAGTGCCATAATGCAAAAAATGGCCTGGTCAGAAAGGGGGGTAAATCCTCAGGAGGGCAAGTGGTTAAAGCACATATTGCTTCTTTTAACATACTGCAGGCTGCAAGGGCACTGTAGCATGTATACAATATTTTTTGAAGCACAAGTAATGATTGTAGTTATACAATATATTTTGGATGTCTGTTGAGACTGAAAAGAGGTGATTTTTCTTCCTTTAAACCAGTTATATTGGCATACAGCACATTTCTAACAAGGGTAAAACCCTTTCATGGCTTGGAAGAAAGCAGATTTCACTGGGTGTTTGATAATATTAGAGACTATTCTATATCTCAAAGATGGTACACTTCTAAAAGTGATAAAAGGGTTCTCCAGAAGGAGAGGGCTCAAAACCCTATTGTTTTTTAGTACCAGCAAATGCATTTTAAAGATTTTCTTAACTGCATAATACTGTGTATAGTATGTAGTAATTATGGACAACCACCCAAATATGTCAGATTTAGCAGGCGTTTCAGTGTTTTCAAGCATTACTTCCCCGTTCATCACAATAACATGATCCAACCCTTCATTGCTATAACCTTCCTCCAGAAAACTGGGTTTCAAATTCTCCGCCTGTTTGAGATAATTATCACCTAGTGCAAGTGCAATTACGCTTCAGTCCAAAAGCAGAACTTTACCCATAAAAACTTAATAAAAATAATGTTCTTTAGCCAGGAGCATACATTCCACATTAATAATTATGCGACCAAAATGATTGTGTGCTGTAAATTGTTCTGTCTTCTTCTTGCTGGAGACTGCTATTTTGCTGAAGCTCAGAGCCCCTGAGCAACAGTAAATCTTTAGGCTGTCAGCAGATCAGTCTCTAGTGGCTCTGATTTTGGGCAGTGCTAAAAAATAGAGAGCAACTGAGCATGTGCAGAGCAGGGTGAGACAATGTATTACTGGATTTCAAACAATATAGGCACTTATTTTTAGTGTTTTAGATAGCTATACCTATTGCGAGAGTGAGTTTCCGTGCCTTTCCGTGAGTACCGAACATGTGTTTTTTTTAATTGCACGCAAATGTGTGGCCGCTCGGCGTCAAGGCACAGATGCCAAGAGGCCGCACATTTGTGTGCGTTCAGCGTGAAAAGTTTAAATTAAAAGAAAATAACAAATTTTGTGTTGTCTTCACAAAAGTAATAGAGGGGAATTTTGTCAATACGGACACAGCTGGAAAAAAAAACTGACAGGGGTTATAACCCTCCCTCACACTATCCAAAAAGGAAAAAAAAAAAAAACGTTTTACCTATAGTTATAATATTTAAAGTGATACTAAACCCAGGACCCTGCATTCACTATATCTGGTCTCCCACAGTGCACACAACATGGAAATGCAATTATTTTAGTAAATGTTAAATACATTTTCTCATCAGCAGTATACAGCAGTCTTGTGACTTCTATCAGTGTCTAGCAGAGCAGGTTAAAGCTTGTAGGAGGAGTTTTCATTTTGCTCTAGAAGGATGCAGAAGTCCTGACCTCTGTCTAGACCAGGGATCCTCAAACTTTTTAAACGGGGCCAGTTCACTGTCCCTCACACCATTGGAGGGCCGGACTAGTTTAAAAGGAAAAACTATGAACAAAGGCGGACATAGTACAGGAGATGACCAGAGACTGCGGACACAGTACAGGAGATGACCAGTACAGCGGATGACAGTACAGGAGACTGTGGACACAGTACAGGAGATGACCAGAGACTGCGGACATATAACAGCGGCGGGAATACTGGGCTGGCCACTACATAAGATGCACAGACATTTCCCCCCAAGTGTGTCTTATGGAGCGAAATAGTGCCCCATCATTGGTGTCAGTGGGAGGAATAGTGCCCCATTATTGGTGTCAGTGGAAAGAATCGTGCCCCATCATTAGTGTCAGTAGGAGGAACAGTGCCCCATCATTGGTGTCAGTGGGAAGAAACGTGCCCCATCATTGGTGTCAATGGGAAGAAACGTGCCCCATCATTGGTGTCAGTGGAAGGAATCGTGCCCCATCATTGGTGTCAGTGGGAAGAATCGTGCCCCATCATTGGTGTCAGTGGGAGGAATAGTGCCCCATCATTGGTGTCAGTGGGAGGAATAGTGTCCCATCATTAGTGTCAGTGGGGGGAGGAATAGTGCCCCATTGTTGGTGTCAGTGGGGGGAGGAATAGTGCCCCATCGTTGGTGTCAGTGTGGGGGGGGAATAGTGCCCCTTCATTGGTGTCAGTGGGGGAAGGGGATAGTGTCCCAACATTGGTGTCAGTTTGAGGAATAGTGTCCCATCATTGGTGTCAGTGGGAGGAATACTGTCCCATCATTGGTGTCAGTGGGAAGAATAGTGCCCCATCTTTGGTGTCAGTGGAAGGAATAGTACGTCATTGGTGTCAGTGGGGGGGAATAGTGCCCCTTCATTGGTGTCAGTGGGGGGGGGATAGTGTCCCAACATTGGTGTCAGTGGGAGGAATAGTACCCCATCATTGGTGTCAATGGGGGAAGGAATAGTGTTCCATCATTGGTGTCAGTGGGGGGTGGAATAGTGCCCCATCATTGGTGTCAGTGGGGGGGAGGAATAGAGCCTCATCGTTGGTGTCAGTGGGGGGAGGAATAGTGCCCCATCGTTGGTGTCAGTGAGGGGAGGAATAGTGTCCCATCATTGGTGTCAGTGGGAGGAATAATGCCCCATCATTAGTATGAGTGACACCAATGATGGGGCACTATTCCTCCCACTGACACCGATGACACTTAACTTGCTGACCCCTGTTCCAGCATGGTGCTGCTGCAGCCAGCATACCTGGTTGCAGCAGCACCATCTGCATGGCACACTTACCTGTCAGCTGTCCTTCTTCACTCCGGCCTCTCCCTCACTCGATGTTTGCGGGGCCGCTCGGCTCCGCATCCTCGCAGGTGATTGGCCGCCTGTGTGCCTTTCCTGAGCCACAGTTCTGGCGCCCAATCACTGGTGAGGAAGCGGAGCCAAGCGGCAGCGCGAACATCAAGTGAGGGAGAGGCCAGAGTGAATGAAGGAGCAGCGATTCCTGGACTGGATTGTCGTGGGACTGGGACACGGAGCCAGGTAAGATACAGCAGCCCCCTGCCCGCCCCTGTACTTAGTGTCCCTTCCTCGCGGCAAATACGCCCCTGCCGGCGGACCGGATAAATGTCCTTGGTGGGTCGCATGTGGCCCGCGGGCCGTAGTTTGAGGATCCCTGGTCTAGACAGTGCTGATTGGCCCTGTGCCATCACATGTACTCTCCCAAGAAAAAAAAACCTCTCCAGCAATACACTCCAAACTGAGCATGTGCAGAGTGACTACACACAATATATCTTATCAGGAGATATGAGGGGGGAATTGGAAGAAGGGAAGGATCAGAAAAGTCAGGATCAAAGAGCATTTTTATACAATGCAGAGGTTTAACCTCTTAGGTTCCACAGTGAGTATAACAAGCATGCTTTACTGCATATACAGACTGATTTCACTGTTGTGGGTTTAGTAACACTTTAAGGAAAATAGACGGTGCAATTTGCAAGCTGCTGCAAAGCTTAGTGCATGAAATAAAGGTTCACTTTACAAAGAATACCCAATCACATGCAAGGAAAAAAAAAACTGTTTTTGTTTGCACATGGTTGGATAATGGAAGAAAGCAGATGTCTATGTGCCTTTAGTAAACCCCCCCATTACGTTTAGTAAAATATATTTATTTTCTCCTGTCATTTTGCCAGATTTTTAGAGACTTTTTTCATGTGTATATAAGTATACAAGCATACAGTATACATCATTTGCTGCAAAAAAATCTTTCAATCATTTCAAACACAATACAATATACGTGCATATCATAATGGTCTAATCCCTTGTTAGAGCATTTATGTAGTGGGGATACTTTACTTTTCCACAATTATTTTTAGAGATATCTTCCCACTAACAAGTTCCCATCATTGATCTTTTTAGCTTTCTGTAAGGGGGTAATTCTTCCCAGTGACCACAAGCGTAAAGAGCATTTTTCCCACTGATCATCACACATAATGTATCACAAAGTGTAGATATAGTCATTTTTAGCAGGGGTTTCCTGAGACTGGAAGGTTATTTGTTTTAGTTATACAATAAGTAAATACAAAATATCTTTCTAAGTGTTCATGCACACTGGATGTTTTTACAGCTGCTGTTTTTGACTTTTGATGTTTTTTCTACAGCCAGTAAACTCCCCAGCATGTTATCCTATGTGTCCATGCACACATAGACTGTAATCAATGTTTTTTGGCTGGAAAAACCCCCCAGGACCAGTGGGTTTCTAGTGGAGTTTTTTTAGCTGTAAAAACGCTGTAACGCTGAAAAACGTAGTAAATCACGGCAAACCAGCGCTTTTGGACTTTTTTTGACAAAAAATTTTTTTTCTTTCTGGTAAAACAACCTTAAGAAAACGCAAATGCAAAAAAGTAGCAAAACGCCGCTAGACGCTAATACAAAAATGCTGAAAAACTCACATTTTTAATGTGACTTTACACAGCTAATGTTACCAGCGTTATTGAAGCGTCCAGTGTGCATGGAGCCTAAACGTCAAAAACTTTTTTTTTTTTTTTATACTTTTTTTCTTCAATGTTTGACATATAGAAAGATATTTTGTATTTGCTTAATTTAACTCGTTTTTTGATACACCACGTGTGTCCTTTGAAAGCAGCTACCCTGTGACTGATATTCCAGTCACCTCTTTTCTTTTGTATTAATGCATATGCTGCTGGGAACGCAATGACTTAGTGAGTTTGCTTATTTCTACGGTTTAAACCATTTTACCTCTTTATTAGAAATAAAAACTGACATAGGTTCTAACTCATATCCACTGTAACCATCCCACTGGACATCACATGAGATAACATACCATATGGTTTCATGAGATAAATACTGCATGTTTTGTAAAAATACAGTAGGCGGTATTTTAGAAGCTTTTTTTGCGAATGCCCAAAAAATTTTGAAAAACACTGAGCAGTATTTTACCGCATTTCTTAAAGTATTAAATGCCGCTTTGTAAATGTTCTATTGTATCATGGGTATCAGACAGTTCAAACAATTGTGTCAAAACCAATGTACTGTAATAGTCACCTCTGTGTAAGTGGCCAGGGAATATAGCTTAGTGTAGCATCACGTATAGCAGTCCCTGTTTCTAGAGGCTAAGCAAGCCTAGCCCACTGGTACATGACATGTCTTGACCCTTCTGCCGCATTGTATATGTAAATAGTGAGTGTGGTCACATGTCCTGGGATGCACCCAGCCCACCTGAAGGAGTTTGAGATTTTCATATGTTATTCAGTAAGATATATAAAGTCTATAGGTGATCTATTATTTGGCTGTGATTAAAAAGTGTTAGCTGTACAGGTCTGGATATCATGTTCCCGAGATTAGGAGCATGTACAGCAGATCTGGAAACATTGGCTGTGGATAATTTTGATGAGCTTGTGATATTCAGCAGTTTTTGACTATATATCTTTTTTATTACTTCAGTAAAAGGTATACAAAGGTAATATGCTAGGCTTGTGTGTCCTCTTTCTTTGCTTATCCAATGCCAGGTTCACTGGCCAGGAAGTACAGGAGGCAGAAGACGGTATGAACAGTAGAGTTCCTCTGGCTCCAGGACTGCAGTTGTCCACAAGGGATCACAGGGGAATCACTGGGACTGGTGTCTTGCAGGAACATAGCCAGTCAGACGTACAGATATGTCAGTTCAGGCAGCAGGCATTGACATGGTCAGAAAACAGGTAAATAATTGATCCAGGCAACAGTCAGAAATGTGGGTAATAAACAGGCCAAGGTTAGCAGGGGCATCAGGCAGAGGTAACAATGCACTGGTGTGGTGGTGATCAGGAACACTGTAGCTGGCGACACTGATCTGGTGACAGTGGAACTTGTGCAGCAGTGATCAGGAACACTGTAGCTGGCGGCACTGGTCTGGTACCAGTGGATCTTGTGTAGCAGTGATCAGGAACACTGTAGCTGCCGGCACTGGTCTGATGACAGTGGACCTTGTGTAGCAGTGATCAGGAACACTTTAGCTGCCAGTACTGGTCTGATGACAGTGGGACTTGTGTAGTAGTGATCAGGAACACTGTAGCTGCCGGCACTGGTCTGATGACAGTGGACCTTGTGTAGCAGTGATCAGGAACACTTTAGCTGCCGGTACTGGTCTGATGACAGTGGACCTTGTGTAGCAGTGATCAGGAACACTTTAGCTGCCGGTACTGGTCTGATGACAGTGGACCTTGTGTAGCAGTGATCAGGAACACTTTAGCTGCCAGTACTGGTCTGATGACAGTGGGACTTGTGTAGCAGTGATCAGGAACACTGTAGCTGGCAGCACTGGTCTGATGACAGTGGAACTTGTGTATCAGTGTTCAGGAACACTGTTGCTGGCTTACTCTGGTCTAGTGACAGTGGAGGCTAGTGTGGAAGCACTCTGCAATACTGCTGCTGACTTACACTGGATCTGGTTTGGTGACAATCACGGACACCATTGCTGGCTTACACTGATGTGGTGGTGATCAAGAAAACTGTTGCTTTCTGCACTAGTCTGGTATAATGGCAATCAGAAATACTGTTAGGGCTCATTCACCTGTGAGGTTGAGGTGGTAAAATCTTGCAGTTTAGCAGCAGTTTTACTGCCTCTGAACCACTTTGTGCTTTACCTGCACAGGCAGTGTACACATACTGCAGGGCTGCAATGTAAAGCTTTGCAGCTGTGATAAGAAGCATACCCCCTATATGCCCTCCAATCACAACCCATTCAAGTGAATGGGAGTGCTTGTGCAGGGTCCAAGGGGTTAAAGCAGCTGTTGAGAAGGGGATACAATGCCATCTCACTGCCTGTCAAATGCTCTCTGAAGAGCAATACGGGCATGGATGACTTCAGAGAGCATTACACATGTGAACAAGTTCTTATGGTGATACTGTGACTGGTGTGGCAGTGATCTGGGACACTGGGTCTTCTGTGTTGAGGGATACTTTTGAGTGGTGTGGGACACTGGGACCGGTGTGGCAGCGATCAAGGACACCGCAATTGGTTTTGCAGTGATCAAAGACACTGTGATTGGTGTGGCAGTGATCAAAGACACTGTGAGTGGGCGCCAGTGATTAAGGACGCTGCCTTATACAGTGGTGATTAGGGACCCTGACTGGCAGCACTGGTCTGGTGACATTGTACTGCTGTGCGGTGATCAGAGACAATGACTGGTGGCATTGACATACAGTGACATCAGAGCGGCCAGCCATTGTACACTATATTGCCAAAAGTATTGGGACGCTTGCCTTTCCACACACATGAACTTTAATGACATTCCAGTCTTAGTCCGTAGGGTTAAATATTGAGTTGGCCCACTCTTTGCAGCTATAACAGCTT